GGACAGCCAGGGCTGCATAGTCAGGCCCTGTATGGTAAAGAAAGAAAAAAAAAAAAAAAAAAAAAAAGACCCAATATATGTCCCTAATGAGTCTACTTACTGTGAGGTAAAATAGAAATTTTCCACAAAACACTAATTTCTATAACGACATTAACAATTGACCTAATTTTTTTAAATTTTATTTATTTACTTATTTATTTATTTATTTGTCTTTTTGAGACAGGGTATCCCTGTAGCCCCTGCTGGCCTGGAACTCTCTACACAGACCAGGCTGGCCTCAAATTCACAGAGATCTGCCTGCCTCTGCCTCCCAAGTGCTGGGATTAAAGGCATGCACTACCATGCCCAGCTTGGTTTTTTATTTTTAAAAAACCCACGTGTGTATTAGTTATAACTGAAAGCAGAAAGTAATCTGATGCCTAAATGCAAAAGACCTTCCGGGAAGAAACTGTATAAACCTCCATTAGCGTGCAGTAACCTTAGTGCATGTTTTGGTAGAAGACAAAAAGCCTTCTCAGTAATATGGATAGCCTACAATGGCTGTCATTCTCTAAGCTCTTGTGCCGAGTTAATGATATATTATCCATGGGCTCATTTCTTCAGTGAGTTTCATTTCAGTCACATTTATTCTCAGGCCAATTGTGACTCATGCTACTCACCACTGGTTACTGAACAAAACTACCTATGCTCTGAAAAAGTAAGATTTACAAGTAACTTTAAACCAGCAAATATACCAAAACTGGAATAAAATGGACTTTGAATTGCTAGGTCTTAAATAGTTCCTTTTCTTCTGATATGCACAGAAACAAGTCTTTAGTATTAACATCACACAGATGCTAAGTAATGCCTGATACAGTATATTAAAAATGTAGAGCTAGCCGGGTGTGGTGGCGCACGCCTGTAGTCCCAGCACTTGGGAGGCAGAGGCAGGTGGATCTCTGTGGGTTCAAGCCCTGCCTGGTCTACACATGCCTGCTTCTGCCTCCTGGGATTAAAGGGGTTTGCCGCCACTCCCAGCTCATTACAAATTTAAAACAGCAAATAGATAAGCAAAAATGAGCCATTGAAAATCGTGTTGGGGGCTGGAGAAATGGCTCAGCGGTTAAGAACACTGGTTGTTCTTGTAGAAGACCTGGGCTCGAATCCCAGCACCCACATGGCCGCTAACAACTGTCTGTAACTCCAGTCCCAGGGAAGCCTCTTCTGACCTCCGTGGGCATTGTACGACACGGGTGTACTTACCCACATGCAGGCAATTACATGCACACATATAAAATTAAAAAAAAAAATGCAGAGCTGCTTTGAATTCATACTGGTAAAAACAAAGATGGGTGCTTCCTTACAGAAAGTCAAATACTAAATGTGGACAGAATGAGGGCATTTGACAACCACAGCTGGTACAACAGGACTACATATCCTCTACACCTGTGGCAAGAAAGCATTATCAGTGGATGCTAAGACAAGCGTAGAATGACATGAGAAGAAAAATGTTGGGGACCCCTGCTGTCTAAGGTAGCAGTCTTTACATGTCCGGATAGCCGCAAGTCAGCTCGGCGTTCATATGCAGAGACTCCCTTTCTCAGCTGGGCGCCTCCCTACTCTCTTCCTGACTCACCTTTTGAAGTGGCCGCCACAGATGCCCTACCAAAAACATGGCCTCTGGCACAAGAATGAAACTGCCAGGTTTTCCTGTGCGATAATCAGACACTGTCTGACAGCCTGGCAGAAGCCCACCACCACATGTAAATGGGGCATCCTACAAAGCACCTATCAACTAAGGCTTTTGCTACTGCCCCCACACTATAAAATATCCTGGTTTCCCCTAATTAATCAGAGCTGAATCACTAAGACCTGGAGTTGAGCTGAGTCACTGAATAAAGGAGCTGTACCACTGAGTCTGACTGAGCTGAGTTCTGTGTCTTACTGCCTACGATTCAGTCTCTCCAGAGGGGGCTGTCCCTTCGTAAACAACAACTTGCGGAGATTCTGCTTTCGCCGTTCCCGCACTTCCCCTCGTGACCCGGCGGCCGATGGGTCTCGAACCTAGAGGGAGTGCCCAGTAGCTTGGAACGGATCACGCCTGGAAGCGCAGTGACCAGTAGAGTCGCCAGCATCCAGTAGCCTCAGAGACCCTCAGCAACGCGGTGCGCGACACTCGCACACCCCAGCAACGCGGCACATGGGACCCACAGCAGCACACGAGAGACAGGCGCCAGCCAGCAGCTGACGCTCCTCCGTGCGACCATAGAAATAGGCTATCTAGACAATTTCAAAACAATTTTTTTCTGCACGAAAACTACAAAAGGGAAGATAAAAATGTCACAGTGGTAGAAACTGGCACCTTGTGTGACCAGTGGCCCATCAAGAGTATCAGAACAGGGGCTGGAGAGATGGGTCAGTGGTTAAGAACACTGGCTGGTCTTGTAGAAGCCTCGGGTTCAAATTCCAACACCCACACGGCAGCTAACAACTGTCCATAACTCCAGCCCCAGGGGATCCGACAGCCTCTTCTGGCCTCCACAGGCACTACATGAATGACCTGGGTGCACTTACCTACATGCAGGCAATACATGCGTACACATAAAATATTTTTTTAAAAAAAAGTATCAGATACAGACCACACACCTCTTGATGTAATGCCCTAAGAAGTACCTTTGCAGAATTCTTGCCAAAAATGTGTAAGTAAAACCTAACCTGAGGATGCACCAGTTGTGCTGAGCTGAGAGACATCCTACAAAATAACTGGCCTGTACGCTTCAAAACTGTCAAAGACAGACCACCAAAGACTGACAAACTTGCGATTAACAGAGACTGAAAAAGAGCAGGCGTGGTGCCACACACCTAAATCCCAGCACTCAGAGGAGGTGGGGGCAAGTGGATCTCTGAGAGATTGAGGTCAGCCTGGTTTACATAGGGAGTTCCAGGCCAGCTGTAGAGACAAGACCCTGTTTCAAAACAATAAAAAATTTTAAAAATTTAGAAAATGAGAGACTGACAAGAGCTGGGCATGGTTGTTCATGCTTATCATCCCAACAACAGGGAGGCCAAGACAGGGGTATTACCACCAGGTAGAGGCCACCCTGGGCTAGACAGTGAGCTCCAGGCCAATCTGGGCTAGTGTGAGAACATGCCGGGCGTGGTGGCGCACTGTAGTCCCAGCACTTGGGAGGCAGAGGCAGGCGGATCTCTGTGAGTTCAAGGCCAGCCTGGTTTACATAGTAAGTTCCAGGTCAGCTGAGGCTACAGGGAGATCCTGCTTCAAAAAAAAAAAAAGACAAAAAAAAAAAGCAAGGGTCACAACAAATAAAAAGAAAGCCAATTAAAAGGAACTTTCTATTTTCCCTAATAATATTAAGACTCTCTTTTTTATATCCTCAGCAGATCATCAAATTTTAGAATTGGAAGAACATCTCTCCCCCACCTCATAGCTTATAGACGAAAACAAGTATGGCTTGCTCAATGATGCCCACACCATAGCAGAATGAAGACACTCCAGCTCTATTCCACCAGATGCTCACTACTCTACACGCTCTATTGGTGCCTTTATAGTGCTATCTTCTCCCCAAACATGTAATGTCAAGTATGTACCTGCCTCCTCCCATATTCTAATAGTCTAGGGTGACAAACCACTTCTAGGCACTCTAAATTTTATTTTTAAAATAAATTTGGGGTGCTAAGGAGATGGTTCAGTCAGTAAAATGCTTACTGCACAAGCATGAGTTAACATCCCTAGCACCCACAAAGAAGTTGGGCATGGTGGCCTATCCTAGCACTGGGGAGGTAGATATAGGAGGATCCCTAGGGCTCGCTGGCCAGGCAGTCTAGCCAAGTCTCAGAGCGTGGGGTTCAGTGAGAAACTCTGACTCAAAAAATAAGGTGGCAAGTGACAAAGAAAAATATCCAAGGTCAACCTCTGTCTTCCACACACCTGCACGCTCCCACACGAACACATACACACCCCACACACCACACTTGGGTATCATTGCTCCTATTAACTAGTAACTATTATCAACAAGTATGTAGAGTTCAGAATACACGCCAAATATTGTAGAAAACATTAAAAGTATAAAATTAACAGACCCCAATGTTAGGCGCATGCTGACACAGACCAAGTTTGAATTATTCGTCATTCTAACTGTGGTTGTGATGCAATAAGTATTAAAATTACCATGGTATACTGCAGAATACAAGACATCCACAGTACAAGAATGAAATATATGTACAAATATCTATTAGTCATGCTAACCAAGTGCCACAAGAAAAGAGAAGAGGTAGTGTTGGGAGCTACTATTATTATGGGCACAGCCATTGCTGCATTAGGCTGTGGCAGTTTGCCTTGACTTAAGCATTGGAAAAAGAATGCTTCCACCCTGGGTCTTTCCCTGCTCTTTGCTTCTGTGGTCTGAGTTGACAGGCTGTGCTTCCCTGATTAATTGGCAGTCTTGGAAACATAAAGAGTTCTGTTTCAGTTTATGGGCACCGGAGTTTCTCAGCACTGATAACTTGGTTTCTATATAGAAATAATGAATTCTAGTAGTTGCTAAGAGTAATCACAAACAGTACACCTTATATCTAAGATACTATGCAGCTCAGTCTTGGATACTGTAAACATCGGGTGAGTTTCGGTTGGTGAAGTAATGTATTCTTATGTATCTTTGGTTATTCCTTGGTTACTTTCTGTTGAGTGGTGTATCCTTAGTTATTCCTTGGTTACTCCAGATCTGATTCCTATATAAGCTTGGTTTGGTTCATAATAAACATGCACTGGCACATAAACCTCTGCATCCCCTGTGTTCTGATTTCTATCCGTCGGGGTCCCCAAGCCCATCAGGCTTGAACTGTGGTCACTGCACTGTGACAAGGAAGCTCTTTTTTGAGATCTAGAAGACTTCAGGGATCTAGACACCAAAACCCTGAAAAGGGAACAGAGGGATTAAAATGAAACAGCCCAAAGGCAAGAAAATGTGGGGCATTTCTACTGATTTTTAAACTCAGCTTACCTATTGTTGCTGCAAGTTCAGGATCAAAAGTATCATCTGTGAATCTGAGGAGTAGGCTAGAAGAGAATTAAAAAACAGATTAGGACCATAACTTTTTATTTCTAATCACATGATAAATGAGTTCATTTTGGCACAAAGTACTAATTAGTTGGAAGAAAGAAGAACTGATGTAGGCCTGCACGTCAGTGCAGGCATATGCAGAGGAATTAAATTATTGGAAAGGCAATCAATGGATTGCAAATTCCAAAGACCAAAGGCATCTCTAATAAATATATGCCCCATGCTCTCATGTACAGTTCCTCAAGTGAGAAAGCTGTGCTGCTGCCATTCTTTTAATCCTTCTGAGAAATGATACTGCAGCATCACACTGGCATGGATAAGACGGGAACAAGCTGCTTCACTCTTTATCAAGTAAAAATAAAGCTTCAAGCACACAGCATCCTGTAACAAGTAGTAAGACATAACACCACAGTAAAAAATAGTGGGGAGGAAAAGGATGACAGCCAGGTGAATGCTGGGTAAGGCATGAAAACCAAATTAGGCAACTGGGAACCAGAAAAGACTTTCAAAGGAAAAGCATGATAAGAATTGTTCTACATTTTGAAAAATTCATGCCAACAAAAAAATAGAGGCACAGTAACAGGAGATAACTGCCATGGTTACAGTGAGGGGGAGGGAAGGACTAACCTAGGAAGTGGTAAGGAAACTAGCAAGGCAGGAATGAAGAGACATGACCAGAAAGGCATGCTACAGCTTCATACCATCCAGTACTATTTTACTCACTGAGAGGCACAAGGGCCAGTTATTAGAGGCTCTTCAAGAATCAACACTTTAGGGTTTTTATAAAGTCTTAAATTTACAAAAGCAATCAGTTTTTGCTCATATTTACTTCTAAAGTAGATTATTCCATTGGCCTGCTAACATCAATAAAACCAAAGAAACGGTGTCCGAAGTAATGAGAATTTTATGAATATTTCTATAGCTTGTGAATACTGCTGCTAGAGATACTTTTGTCCACAGAATATTTGGCAAAACATAACAGCCCCTGGTAATCTGAAAACTCAGCATTATTAATTATATTTCAAGAATTAGCTCTCCTTTCCCTGATTTTGTTCTGTGTTTACTATAAAACAAACACAAGAGTCAAAGCAACAGAGTCAAAATTCAGCTATTTCTACTTAATATCTTGACGTAACTTTTTTTGTTTGTTTGGTCTTTTTGAGAAAGGGTCTCCCTGCAACCACAGCTAGCCTGGAACTTGCTATGTAGAACAGTCTAGCCTCCACCTGACAGAGAGTCCCCCTGGTGCTGGGATAAAAGGCATGCCCCACCACACCCAGCTGTTTTTTTAAAAAAAAAAGAAATAATGTGACTAATGCTAATCTGCATTTCTTCATTTAAAAACAGAATTTGCCTTAAAAAGTATAAGGAATGTAGACTGAATAGGAATTTTGATTAACAGAAGGTTTCTATTTCCATTCTGGCTCTTAATAAACTGCTACATGTTTTACTTCAGCAGGCTGGACCACAGAATCATAGCCTTAAACTGTACATTTAACAGTGTCTGAGAGGTTTCTGTTCAGCACCCTCAGTTTTCCAATGAAGTCTCAGACTAACCATGTATCACACACACATGGTTACACAAGTGGCATACTGGTTTCATAATCCTGATCTCATGCCTATTATAACATTCTAACAGTCTGAAATCAACTTGAAGAATCCCACTAATTCAAACTAAGTTATCTTTGCTGTATAATAATTCCCCAGCAACACAATTACCATCTCACTTGGCCTAGCTCTGAAAAAACAGAAACAAACTGCTGGTTAGCCTACCCTGCAAGATCACATCTGTGACACATGCTCCTCTACTGATCTGCCTTAAAAGGCAAAGGCCTCTTCTATGGTAGTCATTTATTCTTGAATCCACAAAGGTAAGTGTGGTCAAAGCTGTTTCCACAGCCCATCACAGACCAATACTCTTGCTCCCCAAATCTAATCCTTTGGAATTAACTAAAATGTTAAAATTTTGTGGCAAGTCATAATTTATCATTAAGTATATTTTTTAAAAGTTTAAAACATATTTGACTCAAATAAGATTGTTTAAGGGAGGGACTGGAGAGATGGCTCAGCGATTAAGAACACTGGTTGTTCTTGCAGAAGACCTGGGTTCGAATCCCAGCACCCACAAAGCAGCTAACAACTGTCCTTAACTCCAGGGGATCCGATGGCCTCTTCTGTCCTCTGTGGGCACTGCATGATATGGGTGCACTTACCTACATGCAGGCAATACATGCATACGCATACATAAAATAAAATAAAAAGATTTTCTACAGGAGTGAAAAAGGAAGACAAAGAAAGACTTGAAAAGGGAACAAGAAACTAAATAAAATTAAAGAAAAAATAAAGCAACCATAAAAGAATTTCAATTATGTAGTCAAGTATACACTCCAGCTAATCTTCTAGAAAATTCTTACATACTAAAATTCATCAGCCATTCAATAGATCATGTCAGTCCTTTACTTGGCTGAAATGAAAATTGTTATTCTTGATTTTAAAAACAGCACTCTCTAAACAGGCATGGTGATAGAACCTTGTAATCTCTGAACTCTGAAGGAGGCGGCTCCTAGTCTGAGGTCAGCTAGGAGACATAAAAAGTTGCAGGCCAGTTTAGAGACCACATAGAAAGCTCCATTTCAAAAAGCAAAAAGACAACAGAAGACACACCCATCTCCTGTGGCTTAACCTGATGTGCATTCTATCTCAAGTAAAAATGAAAAAAGATCATGAGGTATGGAATTCCTAGTAAAACAATGTTCAATATACTATTTAACATCCCAGTATGTACCAATATAGTAAACATAAATATTTTGTTCGGTACTTTAATACACACCATACTATGTTGATATCCACAACGTTTATTCCATGCTGTAGATCTGTAAATATGTCACTATAACATACTAAGAATACACATTAAACTATGAAAACGTATTGTCAAGCTTTTTTAAAAAAGACCAAAAAACCCTCGGGTTTATTTAATAACCTTGAAAATGCTTAAGCACCTAAAAATTTCAGTCTTTATAAAGTGATGCAAAGTTATTTGAAAGATTTATCATGAGGTAAGGGCAAATATGAAACTGCTAAAAAAAAAAAAAAAAGTCCTCTGGTGTTTAAAGATCAAGAGAAACCAGACTATCGTCTGCTGATAATCGGACGGCAAGGATGACCTAACGTGGAGAACTCTGTTCAGACCTAGATGAAATCATAACTCTCCGGCAACACCCACCTCGGTCTACCTCTCACCTAATACCAGTTCTACCGACAACAATCCTCCTCAAGTGTCAAGCCAGAAAAGCACAAGAACGCACTGATGCTCCTCTCCGGGCCGGTGCGGTGGCCAAACGAGATGGAACACACTTTCAAAAGTGGCCCACAGCTTAAGCACCTGTGCCTTACAAAGACTTTTTCAGGCAGTCACAAAACCCGTGCGTTCTTAGCGAACTAATTTAAAAAATGAACATAAGACGCGGCAATAGGCTGCGCCAAAACAGGCCAGGAATGTGACCTACGACGTCACCAAAGTTTCTGGGGAGAACACTGCGCATCTGGGGACAGCTCGAGGGAAATCGCCTAGTGGTGAAGTTAGTACCGAGCTCAGCTCCGGCGGCGACAGGCTGGCCAAGCCCGGAGTGACGCTCCAGCTGGGCCTAGGATTGCGGGGGGAACAGGCCTGCGAGGGCCCGGGGCGCCGCCGCTGGCTCACGCCCGAGCCCACCCGCCACGCCCTGAGCTCTGCGGCGGGCCGAGCGCCGCCTGGGCGGCCAGGAATCCTGCGGTCCCGAGAACCCGGGCCTGCAAGCCTAAGCGCGGTGGCGCGCGGCCCGGGCCGGAGAGGAGGCAGCAGGGCCGCCGCGTCCCCGGAGCCCGGCCGCCGTGGTGACCGTTCCCGGCCCAGCACGCCTCCCCGAGGCCAAGGGAGTGGCCGCCCGCGTCGCCTCACCTAGACTTGCCCACCCCGCTCTCGCCGATGATGAGGATCTTCAGAGTAGTCAACACGTCCTCGTCCATCCTGCGCCCGCTCGCTCCTACCCGCCGGCCTCCCCCGTCAGCGATCCGCCCTACCAGGCGAGGGCGGCCCGCGCATGCGCACTGGCGCGGCTACCGCCTGCCTTTTCCACCCGGTGTTTGGGAGACCGAAGCCCCGACGTCCTGGTTCCGCCTCCAGCCGGCTCTGCGGCTGCGCACGTCTCGGGGCGTAGGCGGTTTCCCGATTGCTCCTCCCTTGCGCAAGCGCAGATAAGGAAAGTTCGGTGCAACTCCTTTGACCTCCTTTCCGGCTCTGCTCCCCCAACCCTGACTCCACCTGCTTCCGGTTGTGTAGTTTGGAAATCACTAAGCCTTTATTTGAGCAGCTGATCAGGACAGCTGTGTTGCGGTGGGAAAAACTGCACTTTGAGGCAGATTGTCTTAAATATAGGTACAGTGCCACCACGACTGTCTCGTTCCTTGCTCAGCCTCCTCAGCTTGTTTCCCTGTCTCAGACTATTAGATTAGCATATCAGAATTGTTGGGAAAACGAAGTCAACCGGTGTTATAGTACAGATGTGAACAAGTATCAACGTCTTCGCTTTCCCTTTGTTAGATTTAAGCATATCACTCACACGTTAATTTATCTCAAACAGAACTTTAGGTAGATCCAGTACATATCAGCCTTTGGCGCAATGTCAAAGCAAACATTCCTGTTCATTAGAACGACTGCATCACTACCGCAAGAACTGTTATGTGGATGCCCGCTCTCCATTAAGTTGTAAATCTCGGTGACATTACCAGAACTTCTTATAAAGTACCTAGCAAAGTGTCTGGAAGAAGGCCTTCAACATTAATTCTGTCTTAAATCCTTTATATTTGCAGCTAATGTCATGTGCGGCAGACATTTGGTTAAAACATCTAAATAAAATTTAAGAGTAAGTTAGCCAGGCATGGTGGCGCACACCTTTAGTCCCAGCACTGGGGAGGCAGAGGCAGGGGGGTCTCTGTAAGTTCAAAATCAGCCTGGTCTACATGGGGTGGCGCACACCTTTAGTCCCAGCACTGGGGAGGCAGAGGCAGGCGGATCTCTGTGAGATCTAGGCCAGTGTGGTCTACACAGAGTGCCAGGCCAGCTGAGGCTGCAGAGAAACCCTGTCTCAAAAAGACCAGAAAAAAAAAATTAGAATAAGTTAAGATGTTAATTGTTCCTTCACCTGCCCAATTAGTGAAGTCAAGTCTCTGATTATACTTCCTTTTTGTAGCATTTTATTATTTTTATTTTATGTATATGAATGTATTGCCTGCATCTAAGTGCACCCAAGTCGAGCAATCTCCATGGCGGTCAGAAGAGGGAGTCCGGATCCCCTGGAACTGGAATTACAGACTGTTGTTAGCTGTGGGTACTGGGAATTGAACCTAAGTCTTCTCTGCAAGAGCAGTCAATGCTCTTGACTGCTGAGCCATCTTTCCAGCCCCTCTGACTAATTAGACTTCTAAAATTTGATTCCTCCAGCATTTTCTATATGTCCCTGCATTATTTTCATATATATCACTACCCTCTGAAATACTATAATTACTTTATTAACTCACTAATCTTCCATAGAAATGCCTAATTAAGGCAAGGCTACATCATATCTAATAGTAAAACAGACGGAGTGAAGAATCAGTATGAGAATTGAGCTGTTTGTATTTGCTTCTACCACATGGCCGTTTCTAAATTTTGTGCAATCCTGCTGCTTATTTAAACAGTTTTGTCCCTTGGCTTTTAATCTGGCTTTTTCTTCTTTTTGTTTGTGTGCTGTCCGTTGCTGTCTTCTTGGATCAGTGTTGCTTCTCACTCCCATTTCCTTTGATGAGTCTCGCAGTTTTGTCTCTGGCCTTAGGCATTTCTCCTCAGGTTCAGGCCAACATACACAACTACCAAGCTATCTCCTGGGTGTCTACCAAGAAAAAAACTGCCAAGTATCAGTTTTGACACTGAATTCATTATCTTCTCCTCAACATTTGTTTTTATCTTGGCCTCCTTCACGAATGACATTCACATCCATTTAATTTCCTCTCCCTCATTCTTCACATCTGCTTAGTTTTCACAAATCTACCCCTGAAATCATGCCTAAAATATATCCATTTTTCCATCGTTATCAGCATTACCACAGCCATCAACATCAGCATCGTCTGTTAGCTTGGTTACCATATCAGCTGCATTTCATCTCCCCTCATACAAGTACTGTAGCCAAAATGATATTTTTAAAATGCTGATTTAAGTCATGCTGTTTTTAACCCCTCAAGTCCCATCTCTTGCTGTTCCATGCCTTGTCCTCTCTATTCCAGTAGAACTAAACTTCCAGTTTTCAATGATCTAGAACTTTGCCCGTATTTTTTCTGCCTGGAGAACTCTTGCCCTCCCGTCTCTCCGTTTCAGTCCTTATATAGAAAATGGGGTAGTATTTCCATATAACATACACATATCCACATGTTTTAAATATCTCTAGATTACTTATAATTCCTAGTATGATGTAAATACCATGAAAGTACTTGGGTTTTTTTGTTTTTTTGTTTTTTTGCTTTTTGAGGTACTAAGGATTGAGCTTAGTGCATGCCACATACTAGGCAAGCACACACCACCGAGCTTTTAGGAAATAATGTAAGAAAGATGTCTGTACATGTTCAGTATAGATGCAATTTTGAAATTATGCATTCTTAGGGACTGGGGAGATGGTTCAGTTGGAAAAGAAACTGAGTTCAAAGCTACAACACCCAGGTAAAAGACATGGCAGGATCGAATCTTTAACCTCAGCTCAGGGCTTATTGGCCATCCAGCCTAGACAAACAGTAAGTTCCAGGTTCAGGGGCAACCCTGACTCAAAAACACAAGGTGGAATGCATCAAGGAAGACATCCCATGGTGGCCTCTGGCTTCTGTATGTATAAACATGCACATACCCACATGAACACACACACACACACACAGACTCACACACACACTTCAATCTGTAGTTGGCTGAGTTTGAGGATATGAAACCTGAAGACAACAGAGGACTGACATTTGGTGACTGAAGTTTCCAGCAACCAGAACGTGCTTCATGAAAGGGAAAAGACTCGAATGAGAAGTAGAGTTTAGACAAGCATACTGGAAAGGTTGTGCTGCCACAGATGGCAACATCCATGGCATGAAAAGACCCACCAGTCATCCATGGAGGGGAAATGTATTAGGTTTAAATCACATTAAAGTTTATGTGAATGTGGGCCTTGTAGGCAAATTTCTCAGAACCATTTTAGAGCTGTGGTTCTAAAATTCAGGGTAGTGTTTTTTAAAATAATATTTATTTATCTTTTGAAACTTTCATATATCTGTAAAATATTTCTTGATTATATCCACCCTCTTTTTCTTCCATCTCCCCCTGGGCCCCCAACACATTCCCTCCTAACTTCATCTCCTTATTTAAATAACCCACTAAGACCAGTTAGTGCTGCCCATGTGTGCACTGGTGTAAGGCCATCATCAGGGTGTGGACAACCTGCCAGTGGTGATACCCTCAAAGGAAAGTGACTCTCCCTCCCCCAGCAGCCATCAACTGCAAATAGCTCCTGAACTAGGAATGGCAGGGCAGTGTTTTGAACTAAGCTCCCACACCAGGTTCCAACTAAAAATCAAAACGGCATCATCCATTCTAAGGTTGCATATCAAAACAAAAAGTAAGTTAATATTTGACAGTCTGAGCAATTCAAATACAGAAAAACAGCCAGATTTTCCAAACAGGCCAGCTTGACTCAGCATAACCATGAAGTTCTCTCACCTTCATCCTTGTGTCAACACTGCAACCCCACGTGGCAGGGCCTGAGTTACTTTCCCATTGTTCTGTCTCTCCTACCCATGTCACAGGGAAAACAGCTTCAAAGTGACTGCTTCTTTGTTTCTGCCCCTCGGCCCTTCAAAGCACAGTCTTCTGTCAGCCCATCTCACGGGTATGTTATGGAAGGAAATGTTATCAATTCCAGCATTGAAAGTAAGCCCAGCTAAGATTTTAGATGAAGATGTGGTTTTATTCTTTCATGGCAGATAGCAAGACACCAGAAAGGAAGTCAAGGGCTTGACATGCAAAACAACTATTTTGCCTAGGTTTATCTCTTCTCTACATGAAATTCTGTAATCCTTAAGTGGGTGGAAAAGACTAGGCTTCATTTGTAGGCTTCGGACATGGCTGATGGATCTTTAATTGTTTCAACCACATTCCAAAGCTATGATTATCTGATAAGGTAACACCTCCAGCAAAGCTCTTCTCCTTTTCCTTTCCTCCTTCCCCATCCTCCCCTTTTCTTTCCTCTTTCCTTCTCCTTTCCCTGCCTCCTCCTCATATTGTACTGAGACTCAAACCCATACGTGCTAGCCAAGCATTATAACATTAAGGAATCTACATGCTATATAATTCCAACTGTGGACTCTGAGCGATAGTGATATGCCAATGCAAGACAATCAATGTTAGAAATGTACCGTTCAGGCAAGGGACGTTGATAGTGGCAGAGTCTGTACTTTAACAGGGGCAGAGACACATAGGAAGTCTCTGTTCAATTTCGCCAAGAAATAAGAACAGCGGGGAAGGCTTGGAAGAAATACAATCCACAAAAGGAACCTAGGGAGCATTAAGATTTAGGGTATGGATTTGAATCCTGTGGGTTATGCTTCTTTCCAAGGCTTTTGAAATGTCATGAGATTCTGGTTACATCACAAATCTTTCTTGCAGGAGTGATAATAGGCACTCTCAATGATGAGAACACTTTATGGATTGTGGGATGGAATGTTTATTCCCAGACAATTTATAAAAATAAAGACTTTTCAGTACTTTATTTCATGCTGGTAATTCAGATTGAAAATTTAACTAAATGTTA